CACCTTCAGCTGAGGGGATGGGATTCCACCTAACACACTGGTCCAAGACAGGCTTACTGCTAAACCACCAAGGAAGAAAGATATGCTGCCACCCTTACCAGTAACATGCACTGTGCACTGAAGAAAGAGGATTTTGAATGTAATTTCTCCCTTTCTTGATGACCCACGGTTACCAATACAATGAGGTGGTATAGGAACTAACTTTATTAAGCAACTGATGTGGGCCAGCAAGTGTGCTGACTGATGAGTTGCTCCTCTGGGCGCTGATACATCCTGAGTTCCTTCCTATCCAGTGACTTCTCTGATCGCCTATTAAACCACTCACCTCCCTGACTCTACTCTTGACGGCCAGACTATGTTGTAGTCACGTCTGCATTCCAGCACTCAGTGCAGAGCTGCACAGGTGTCAGCGCTCCATGGCTTTTATTCTCTTCCAAATTTTTAGTAGGCTGTATCAATGAAGTATAACATATTAAAAAGCCACAGGTTTTAAATACAGTCACATGCCACATAATGACATTTGGGTCAATGAGGGCTCACATACGTGACGCTGGTCCCATAAGATTAGTACCATGTAGTCCAGGCGTGTAGTAGGCTGTTCCATCTAGGTTTTGCGTGAGTACACTCTGTGATGTTCGCACAACGACGAAATCGCCTAACGACACAGTGCTCAGAATGTATCCCCATTAACTGACGCATGACTGTAAATTACTGAATTCTTAGGAAGTGAACACACCTATCCGAATCAAAAAATAAATCCCCTCATCCCTTTTCCAGACATCATGCCCAGCAAATCAAATCACTATCTAGATTTATCCATCTAGACCTAGGATTTGCCTGATTTTTAATTGTTCAACCATTCAGTATGTTTTCTTCGTGCCAGCTTCCGTCATCCCTGTTGGTGAGATTGCCATATGTAGCAATGTCTGTACATTTTTACTGCTGCATGAGATTCCACTGCATGACTACACCAACCATTTATTTATCCATTCTACCATTGATGGACATTTGGGGGTTTGTTTCCAGTTTGGGGCCATTCCAAATAATGGTGCTCTGTATTCCTGTACACGTTTCTGTTGGATATGTGCCCAAGACGAAGACTGCTTAATCACAGAGTAGGGACACTGCCAAACTCTCCCAGAGTGCGGGGCCAGGCCCTACTTTCAGAGCGGGGCTCGAGCACTTCAGGGGTTCCTGTCCCCACCAACACTGGGGATTATCAGCCTGTTTAAACTGCAGCCAGTTCGAAGGGTATGATATCACATCATGGTTTCAATTTGGATTTTACCGATGACTAATGAGATTGAGGAAATTTTCATATTTTATTGTCCACTCAGACATCCTCCTTTCTGCAAAGCTACCCAAGTAATGTTGACCATTTTCTGTCAGTGTGGCTGTGTTTTCCTCTTAATCTGTAGAAATTCTTTATACACTCTGGACACAAGCCCTTTGTTACGCATATGGCAGATAGCTTCTTCCACTTTGCGGCCTGCACTTTCACTTTTAATGGCATCCTTTGAGGAAAATAATTTTCTAATTTTAATGTAGTCCAGTTTATCACTCTTTTCCTTTATGGCTGTATTTATATTGATGTCCTATTTAAGAAGTATCTGTCTATCCCAAAGTCATAGCTATCTTCTCCTATATTGTCTTTTAGAAACTTTATTTTTTAAGATTTCATATTAGGCCTATGGTCCATCTAGAATTTATTTTTATGTATGGTATAAGGCAAAGGCCAAAATTCCATTTTTCCCATACTGACATTCAATTAACACAGCACTGTTTCACTGAGAAAGGATACTGATTCTTCACAGCTCTGTAGGACCACCTGCGTTACAATTACCTGTCCAGACATGTGTGAGTCTGTGTGTGGACTCCTTGACCTGCTCTCCTCTGGTCTGTCTGTCCTCGCTGCGACACCCATCTCAATAACGACATAACAAGATCTGCTTCCTGGGGCGTTAAGCCTTGCCAACTCTGCTCTTCCTCAAGGTTGTCTTGCTTATTATTGGCCCTTTCCATACAAGCTTCAGAATCTGATTGTCAATTTTTACTCCTTCACACAAATCTGCTAGAATTTTGAACCGGACCGCATGGAATCCACAGAATAACTCGGGGAAAATTGTCCTATTTACAACATTGCGTCTTCCAATCAAGGAACACCATCTACCCCTCCACTTCTCTGTGTCTTTGGTTTCTCTCAATAATGTCTTATAGCTTTCTGCATACCTGTCTTTTACATCTTTAAATTTATTCCTAGGTATTTGATTTTTTGATATTATTATAAATCATGCTATTTCAAAAATTTTACTTTCTAAATGTTTGTTTTTGGTTTACAGAAACAAAATTTATTCTTGTATTTACTTTTTGCAACAGCAACCCTGCTAAATTACTAATTTTAATATTTTATCTATAGATTCTTTTGATTTTCTATGTGCATATAATTGTGTCATCCATAACATCAGCTTTCTTTCTTTCTAATCTTTATATTTTTAATTCATTTTTCTTGACTTATTCCACTGACTGGGACCTACAATAAACTGTAGAAAAGTAGTAATGAGAGTGGGAAGGGTTTCGGTATTTCACCATTAAGTATGCCATTTGCATTAGGTTTTTTTTTTTTTTGTAGATATCCTTAATCAGAAGAGGAAAGTTCCTTTCTACTTTTTGTTTGCCAAGATTATTTTTTTAAATCATGAATCTGGGTTGAATTTTACTTATGAAAGTCCTTTTTTTACACAACTATTAATATGACCATACCATTTTTCTCTTTTAGCCTTTTAATACGGATTGCATTAATTGATTTTTCAAATATTAAAATAACTTACTTGAATTCTTTTACCAGTTTTGGAAAACTTGTGGCGATTATTTCTTCAAACATAGCTTCTGTTTTATTATCTATTACCTCTCATTCTGGGACTCCAATTACATCTCACCTAGACCCTTTTACCATGCTCCATATATATGTTATACTCTTTTGTGTATTTTTCCATTCTTTTATACTATGCTGCAGTATGGATATTTTTTTCTGACCTATCTTCTAGTTTATGAATTCTCTCTTCAGTTGTATTGAATCTGCTGTTAACTGTATTCCATCTATTCAGTTCTTAATTTCAATTACTGCATTTTCAATTCCAGAATTTCCATTTGATTCTTTTTATAGTTCCAAGTTTTCTGCTGAATTCTTCATCTTCTATAATTTCTTGAACATATTACTCATAGATATTTTAAAGTCCACATATAATACTTTCAACATTTGGATCTTCTGTGGGTTTGGTTTTTTATCTCTTGATGTATGAAAATTCTCACAATTTATATGCCTAGATTATTTGTTTTTGAATGCACAAACTGTTTGTGAAAACTTATAAATTGCGCCTTTGATTATGTTATATTCCTCCAGGAAAAATATAACTTTGCTTCTTGCAGTTAGCTGAAATAGAGATAGATTTACTCAATTTAAGCAGGTGTTGAGTTGATTCAAAGCTGGGCTTTACCTTTGTAAAATTTTTCTATGTCTAGTTTACTCTTAGGGTCCCAACTAAAAGCCTAACCCTAACTGTCTTTCACCACACCTCCTCTCCGCCCTCCCCATGGCTCTGCAGCTGCTCAGGTCTCAGGGAGCAGGGTTTCTCATTAAACCAACCTCAACTCAAGACAACGAACTTGAAATCACATGAAGAAGCCCCCCTCCTTGCTCTGATGCGCATCCAGGAGCCCCAGGGTCTTCCTTGCACTATCGGCTCAGGCACTCACACCCCTTTTCTCTTTCCAGTTTCCCCAGCAAGACTTTATTGGCTCTTCTAATCCCCTCCATCCCCTACAGACTGTCTGCCTGCCTCTTTGGACCCACCTTCTCTTTTTAGTGGATGCGCTCCCTGCCACCCTGAGCTCTTGGCAGAGCCTGGGCCTGGCTCCTTCTCAGCAGTTTGGTCTGGTTTGGTCTGATCTGTCTACCTGGAAGCTGCACATCAGTTCTGCTTCTGACCCGTGTGCCCAGAGCCAACCCATCCCACAGGCTGGCTCCTCTGGGCACCAGGTGACGCCTCCCACCCTGTAACTGTCTTCCTGGGACCCACCCCAGACATGCAGACTTGAAAACCTTGGGGGTATGGCCTAGGAACCTACATTTTTTTAAAGGTTCCCCCACCCGTATTTAGCAATCCTTGTGTTTGATCTTTCAAATCCTCTCACACTTATTAGCTTAATTCATTCACTGAAGACTGACTGTGGGTTCCATGTTGGACGACAGGCGTAATGAACCTGATTTGGCGGGAAAACTGAAATAGGTGTAAAGTGTTGCAGAAACACAGAGAAGGGAATGATGCATTTTTTCTAAGAGGGGGGGTTAAGTTTGGAGAAGTTTCCACAGTGGAAGTAACATTTAGATTGAGTGTTGTCTAGGTGGGGGGCACCCCAGATCCAGTGAACAGCATGAGCAAAGGTGAGGAGGCAGGAAGTGCACGGTGTGTTGAAAGAAGACATGTGGTCTGGTGTGGCCTGACTCCCGGTCAGACGGAAGGGGTGGGAATCATCTTGTACTTCCCACTCCTTGGTCTTCACTTTATTTTCTTATCTCACAACTATTTTCACTGAAGAGTTAATTTCACAAAATATATTTTGACAAAGTACTAATATATTAGCAAAACCCTTATTCTGGGCTTCATTTTGGCTTGTACAGAAATAAACTGAACTGATGAGGTTAAATACTATCATCAGAAGTGTTTCAGCAAAAAATAGGACTTCCCATGCTCAGCACTAGTGACATTTGGGTCTGGATAATCCTTTGTTGTGGTGGTTGTCCTGAGCAGGTTGGACACTTAGCAGCATCCCTGGCCTCCACCCACCATGTGCCATACCAGTGCCCCTCTTTCCCAGTCTGACAATCAGAAAATGTCTCCAGACATCACCAAATGTCCTCTGGTGGTGTGGGTAGGGTTGAAATCCACCCTGGTTGAGAACCACTGATAGAGAGAAAAAGAACACGAGATTTGGAGTCAGGCTCAAGTTCACATCTTGCCATGACAATAGTTATGCGATGGAGGAAATGTTTTATTAATTTGGGTTAATCGTATGACGGCTGTGGCTGGCACGAAATTTACCAACGCTGTTTAATATAACTTAGTTGAACTTTCGCTCGTGGCTTAATTTTTATCACCGCTGTTTCCTCTGCCTTCACCCTTCATGGACAGAATTGGAAATCACCTCTCCCTTGCAGGATTACTGTGAGAAGCAAAAGAGAAAGTATCTGAAGTGCCAGGTGGAGTACTTGGCACTAGAAGGCATATAAGAAATGGTCATAATACTATCAGTACCAATAAGAGTAGTGGTTCTTAGACTTGTTTTATTAATGATGTCGTTGATATTATTATTAGGAATAAAGCCTAACTGAAGTTTAAAAGTTACAGTGAGTAAATAAATTCCACTTTACCAAGAAGCAACAATAGGGCGGGAAATGTTGCAATTACATTACCAGACATCACTTCCTCTAGGAATCCTTTCGTAATTCTTCAAGTCTCAATTTGGGGCCCATTCTCTGTTTTTCCAAAGCCCTACATACTTGGAACACATAACTGTAATTGTTTATTTAATGCTTCTTCTCTCTACTAGACCATAAATTCCTAGAAGTCCAGTGCTCTCTCCTGTTCACCTTACACCCTGATTAACGAGTAAGTGGGTCATCAACAAATACTTATTGAAAGACGTTCCTTTTCAATATTTGCTGCTTGCTCAAATGATATTCAAGGGTCAGATTCAAGGGTAGACTGGCTCACGTCTTAATAGACACGCCATTCCATACAGCACAGCGACGACATGTGAATGCTGGAGTCAGAGGGTGTGGGTTCAAATCCTGCATTTACCACTTACTGTGTGACTTTGGTCAGGTTAGGTGGCCTCATTGGTTCATTTCATAAACAGAACAAAATAATAGTATGTGTAAAGTTGCTTTGAGAATCAGTGTTATTTCTAGACCACTGATAATGGGGAGGCAATAAGTTGGCAGGTTTTATTGCTCCCTCGAGTAAACTACGTTTTGCTCTAGGGAGGCAAGGACCAAAAGTTCTTTCTGCGAGACTGGCTAAACCAATTCTTCTGCTGTTGGAAAAAAGAAAGAAAGAAAGAGAGAGAAAGGGAAGGAGGGAGGGAGGGAGGGGAGGAGGGAGGGAGAGAGAGAAAGAGAGAAAGACAGAGGGAAAGAGAGAAAGAAAGAGAGAGAGAAAGAAAGAAAGAGAGAGAAAGAGGGAGAAAGGGAAGGAGGGAGGGAGAGAGAGAGAGAAAGAGAGAAAGACAGAGGGAAAGAAAGAAAGAAAGAAAGAAAGAGAGAGAGAGAGAAAGAAAGAAAGAGAGAGAAAGGGAAGGAGGGAGGGAGGGAGGGAGAGAGAGAGGAAGAAAGAGAGAGAGGAAGAAAGAGAGAGAGAAAGAGAGAGAGAAAGAGAGAGAGAGGAGAGAGAAAGAAAGAGAGGAGAGAGAAAGAAAGAGAGAGAGAGAAAGAAAGGAAGAAAGGGAAAGAAGAAAGAAAGAAATTCAAAATCCTTATTTTGGTTTGATTCTGCAACTCAGATGAGCAATTTAAGCCAATTCAACATCTGGCAAAGAATTCAGCGTCTGCAGTCAAAGAGTGATGCTAAAGCTAGGCACAAACTTTGCTCTTGGCCAGCACTTGCTAATGTGATGGCAGCAGAAAGAATACCAATTTCTAGACATCTAGGAGTGGATCAGGGAGTGCTCAAACAAAACTCTTGATTCGTGGAGAACTGAGCCAGGTAGACCTACTGTATAGGACAAATGCCTCTGGAATCTGAGGTTCCTATATTTCTCAGTTGTAATATCCATCCCGCATGGAGGGAATGCTATTCATTCATTCATTCATTCATTAAACACGGACATGTTAAGGGTCCTCCATGTGCAAAGCACTGTGCTGGTTGCTGAGATAGAAGAATAAAATGGCACAGTGCTTTCTCTCAAAGTGTTTACAAACTAGTCAATGAGGCAAAGTTGCACACACACAACTGGGCGATATGTACAGTAATGGAAGCAAATCTAAGACATAGTGAGAGCAAAGACAACTGGGAGAAAAGGGCCTGAGACAGAAATCAGGTTGTTGTTGCCTTCAGGACAGCTGGGGTGCTAGAGCCAAGGACAGACCTGGAACAAACTTCATACTATTTTTATAAGCTAGAAAAATATCAGCAGCAGGAGCCCTGGCCAAAACCACCCCCACAAAGAGCAGACAAAGCTCCTCCTATCTTCTGGCTGGCTGCGGGAGAACTCACTGACCAGCACGTTAAGAACAAGATGTTCTTTTATCTTTGATTTTTATTCCCACAAAGTCCTTCCTCCTTTTTTTTCCAGAACTGGAAAAGCACGTGTTGAGTTTTACTTGCTTCTTTGATCTTTATCCCCCCCTTTATTCATAGAGGAATAAACTTCTCAGGACTATCTTTATCTGGATTAGGGTTAGGGTAGGGTCAGGTTTAGGGTTAGGGTTAAGGTTAGGATTAAAGATCAAGCAAGAGGGTTATGCCCCCTCTTGCTTCTTTGATTTTTAGCCTTCCTTTGAGAATGAGAATGGAGTATTTCTCCAAAGCAGATGCTGATCCTGCTACTGGTCAGAGTGTGGGGTCCAAGGCAAATCACGCCAGACCAGCACATGAAGGGACCACGGTTGTCAGGGCGTGTTTGTGCCAGGGCTGGATGGCATCCAATTCCGAGCCTCAAGCTAGATTCTCAACCTGACATTCAGCCACCTCTCAGCACGGAGTGTGCCTAACCCTTTTCTGATGTTGTTTCCAACCTCAAACCATCCAGACTCTTAAGGCAGTGAACGCTGCCTTCTGTGCCAGAGTGCCAGCGAAGGAAGGTTATGGCAGATTCAGGGAAGACAGATGGAGTCCAGAAGCCTGAGGCTCTTCTCCAACTGCCTACCCACAGGGAAGACAGTTCTGGTATCTTCGTACCAGGATCACAACGCAGAGACTTCCTAAAAGCCCCTACTTTGTGTCAGGCATTGTGATTCTAGAGAGAGAAAGTCAAAGAGAGAGAGCTTATTACCATATGCCTCCTATGTTCCAGATGCTATGCCAGCTGGTCTGACCTATTTACATCATTAGTTCTCATAACAACCCTGTGAGGGGGCAGAGCTATCTCTTACTGCAGAAGAGGGAAACGAAAGCGTGAAAAGGTATGATATTTGACCCAAGGTGCACAGGTAGGGAGAAGAAGAATTTGAATCCGAATCTTCACACTTCCTGGTCAGAGCCCTTACTACAGCATCACGTATGTCTCATGGGTTAGTTGTCTCAAATCAATACTATTAAGCTACAAGCATGCAGGCCAGGAGAGAACCACCAGAATTTTCTCTCCAAAAGGAGTGGAGCTTTGTCTGCTCTGTTCACTGCCATAATCCCAGTACCTGGACCAGTAACCATCAGGCCTGCAGGCACTCAACATACGTCTTTAGTGACGACCCAGTTGGATGGGTGCACTATCTTCTCAAGACTTTCAGGCTTATGTTCTCATCCAATCCTGATGCGGGCACAGGCAGGGTGGGGAATGAGAGGGGACCTCTGCTCTCAGGCCTCCTCCCTTTCCCAGACGTCCTGATCCTGCGTTGGCTGTGAGAGGAAGGGGACAAGAGGCAGAGGCAGAAAGAAGTACAAGTCGGATAAAACTTGGTCAATGGTGTCAAGATCCTCGCTATCCCACAGCTACTGAGAATCCTCACCCTGTGCCCTCCCTAGACACCACTGGCCCTAAAGTCAGCCCTGATTCCAAGGTTCTGATTTTGTCTTTCCACTGAAAGAACTTACTTTTGGAAAGCACAAGGGGAACCCACTAACTTGAGAGCACCAGGATTTTAAAGGGAACAAAAGGCCTCAGCCAAAGCTTCTAAGGGTAAAATTTGTCATTGAACCTCTCTGCTTTACGAAAAGAACAGGCTCATTTAATGGTCTGGATTCCCCTTAGAGCAATTCACCCAACACTCTCTGAGAGTCTGCAAGCAACAGGTGCCACAGAGGAAGTGCTTTCCCCTCCTGGGGACACAGTGGGTCCTGGACAGAAGGGAGGAGGTGTGTTTTGGTTCAAACCTGAGGGAAATGTGGGAGACTGACAAGGAAATGAGAGTCTTGATGCTCATCAAGGTGCAGACCTCTCTCTTCCAGCATGTGGTGGTCCAAGCCAAGTGCCTGTCACTGGGAGGGTGGAGGATTGAGACTGTCGCCCCAGGGGTAACTGACAAAGGAGAAAGCTTCCCTGGCCTCCAACGTGATACGGAAACTCAGGAATACCAGGGGACAGGAACACTGCATGTCTACCTACACCACAAGTTCTCTCGGTGCCTGTTCTTAAAAACCGAAATCATTACAGTCCAATCAAAACTACACAGCACCCCCATGGAAAGCGAGAGAAACACCCTTGCCCATACTCAGTACTCTCTACCATTCAACCAACCCACATGTATTATTGGCTGTTACTATTTCCCGGGCACAGTGCTAGATCCTGAACACATGACGAACAAGACAGAAACACTCATAGATGGCCGAGAATTACCCTGTTCTAGAAGTCCATGGACTATGTGAAAGAACTAGACACTGCTTAATCATCTCTCACACAGAAAACACTAACGCTCGCTCTGAAGGTTCAGGCCATTTTGCCTTGTTCTCGCCTTAATGCAACTTTATTCATTTAATAAATTTATCAAGCTCTCAGAGGAACTAGACACAGGGCTCAGCACAGGTGACACAAGATGAAAAATATGATGCCCTCAAAGAGGCCACGGTCTAGTGGAAAAGACAAGCAGATAAATCAATAATTACAACATTTACAGTAATTACAGTGTGATCGTTTCTCGCATAGGGCAGGTAGAAGCTGAAAGAAGTACACCTGAGAGAATTTCTAAATAAATCTGAATGTCCCCAGAAGGCTACACAGAGGAGAAAGCCTCTGATGTGAGTTTTCACGTCCGAGCAGGAGTGAACCATTGGGAGAAGTCAGGACTCATCCTTCCGAGATGCAAAGACACGGGGGTGTAAATGCTCGACAGCGTTCTGGGAGCAAGATTCGAGGTAAGTACTTGAAAGATAACTTTTGGCTGTCATATGAAGTACGGGCTAAGAATATCTTTCAAAGTCTCTTTGACTATGATCTATAGTGAGAAATTCATTTTGGGGCTGGCCTGGTGGCATAGTGGTTAAGTTCGCATACTCTGCTTTGGCAGCCTGGGGTTCACAGGTTTGGATCACGGGCATGGACTGGGCACCACTTGTCAGGCCATGCTGTGGTGACATCCCAAATAAAATAGAGGAAGACTGGCACAGATGTTAGCTCAGGGCCAGTCTCCGTCACACACACACACACACAAATCATCTTCATCATGGCCCAGTAAACACACACACATACATACCATCTTCATCATGGCCCAGTATACACACACACATACATATAAAATGTAACAGGAGCTCCATAAACAGTGCTTGCCCTTACTAGGTGAGATGTGCTCTGAGGTTTTCTTGTCTGGTCCATTCTATTCTGAAAATTCAGTGGTCATGACCTACTAAATTGACCTCATAAAGTCTGAACCATAATTCAAAAAAAACACTGTTAGAGAGAAAGGCTAGGAAAAAAGATATGTCTGTAGTTGAAGTGAGAAATATTAAGAATCTGAATAACCAAAAAAAAGAAAAAACTGCAGTAAGGAAGAAGAAGAGGATAGAGACAGCACACTTTACCGTATTCCTCGCCTCACTGTCTGCCTTCCCATTACAATGTGTGGAGGGACCTTGGTTTTGTTTTAACTTCACTGTCCCCCCGCACCACGCCTGGACAAAGTAAGTGTTAGGTGTCTTTGAAGTAATGAACACATGAATGCCAGGTTTGAGAGTTATTTAGGAGATGAAATCAAGACTACTCTCAAGCAATTGGATATAGGATATAAGCCAAATATATTATGAAAATAAATCAACTAGACTTGTGAGGGTTTTGGGAGTATTTTTAGAAAAAACAGTATAGGTAAGTATAGCATCATCATACCTGCCAGGTAGAAGTTAATATCTCTTTTTCAAGTTTTCTGTAGACCGAAAAACCATACAGATATTGATTCAGATCAATTTTTTTCTATTATTCTGTATGGAAAAATTAATTAAATTATAAATAAATTCTACATTTGATAAAAAGTTCTATAGTTCTATCCAAATGCCCAACTGTAAAAAGGCTTTTCATTCCTATATCTTGAATCACTAGCCTGCGATCCGTGCTTTACAAACAGGGAAGGAGAGCCTCAGCTTCTGGGAATATTCCGTGTGACGCACTGCGGGTCGTGGGCCCTGCAGAAGGGATTACCTAATCCTCCGGCGTGGGCATCAATGAGTGAGGCTGCCACTGCAACTCCAGCAGGAAGGCCAAGGTCTTTTGCTGCCTCTGGTGTGAGCCCATTTCCAAGAGAAGCTCCAGGAGGCAACACTTGGTTTCCTGGGTAGACATGAGAAAAAATAAACACCTGTCACTTTGAAAAACCCAAAAGCAAAAATACGGTTTTCTTATGAGAACCTCTCCGCACGCTTGCCTCTCCTCTGCATTTCCTCCATTTCATGGAGACAAAAGCCATGCAGCCACAGAGTCCTTCTGCTCATCTGGTGACTTAGTTGTATGTCCTTGGTTCCCATGGATCAAGCTCTGGAGTGCTTTACAAAGCCAAGAATTCTAACGCATCTTTCAAATTAAAGAAAGACTCCATTCATGAGAAATTCCAAAGGACAGAAACACAGTGGCCTCTTGAAGCCCTGGTGAAAATGGTCAAATTGTTACAAACAGGCTTTGTAACACAGCAGCTCTACCAGCACACCTCACACACGCACACACGCACCTGTACACACTCCCTGAGTAGCATATATTCCTAAGGAAGCTGAAGAAATTTAATTGTGTGGCTGCTTCCCACTGGTGGGTAAGGGAGTGAACTATTTCGCTCCAATAAAGAATTTCTCAGAAGTTTCTCCTGTTGGAAGAGAACCCAGTCTGAACCCTGCAGATTCTACAAGGCTGCTACTGGCACAGCCACAGAATGCAAGGGGCACGGCGCTCTGTGGAGTTGTGCAATGCAGGAACCCTAATGTTTCAAGTGACCTTGAATTCTTGTAGTCAGTCTGGCCTTCAGTTAAGAATTCATTGATTGTCTTGCTTTGTGTGGGTGCCAAGGCGCTCTAAAAGGCAGTCCTTGCCCCCAACCTAGTTAGCGAGACGAGATCAGGACCCAGAGAACCATGTAAGTCAGAATAGAATGAAGTGATCCATCTGTTCTCAGGCGTTTAGCAGAGGCTGAATCCCCCCACCCCTGCCAAAGAATTTATAAGCATTCTGGAACTGCAAGGAGCGGGTGGGGGTGGGCCCATGTATATGCTAACATCCCTCTGAGTGCCAAGGTCCTAAGATTCTGAACATAACGTCAGCACTGCTCACTGCTGAGGTTCCTAGCATCTGCTCACTGTCCCCTGGCGCTCCAGGGATAGGTAGGGGGCTTCGGGACTTCGGGAGGCGGGGTCAGGGTGGGGTTAGAAGGAAGCAGAGGGTGAATGGCTCATCAACCTCCTCTAATTGGGAAGGAAAAACCTCCACAACACCATTTTTATCCATTTTAGGTAATAAACTTCTTTCTCTAATTGAATTTCCAAAAAGTTTATGAAAAGGAAGCAGAAGAAGACAAACCCTGCAATGGTTTCTAGAGCTCCATTGTCCAGCACGGCAGCCACGAGGCACACGCAGAATGAGTGCTGGAAATGAGGCTGGAGAGCTAACGGGCTGAATCGTTCACGTAATTAAAATTCATCTCAATTTAAATTTAACGACTGATACTCAGTTCAGTTACTGAAAAACTTCTAAATATGTTTCAAACAACTTGGGTATGCAAATCTACTTTTTAAATGTTAATTTAAGAACGCTAAATCAAGTATTTACAATGAAAACTTAGTGACTTTGTTGGTGGTAAGCACAATGCAGTCTATACAGAAATTGATAAACAATAATGTATGCTTGTAATTACACAACGTTATAAACCATTATGACCTCAATAAAATAACTGGAAAAAAAATTTAGTATCTGAATGAGCTGTACTTAGTGGAAAATGCACACCAGACATCAAAGATTTCACATGGAAAAATGAATGTAAAATATCTCATTAATAATTTTTGTATCAATTATATGTTGAAATGTTATTTTGGATTTATTAGGTAAATAAGATTTACTAAAATTAACTTTGCCTATTTCTTTTTGCTTTAATGTGGCTACCAGAAAACGTCAGACTACGGATGTGGCTCCCATTCTATTTCTACCGCACGGCACTCGTCTAGAGGAGACCGTCAAGATGGTCCAGCAGCGCAGCGGGGAGAAGGAGAAGCTCTCGTCTGCTGTGAAGGCCCAGCTCAGCAGAAACCTGGAGGGGAACAGTGCTCCTCGCTGTAGACCGCTTGGCCCTGGGCACCAGCTTAATCATGTCACTGTGTCTTGGATCCGGCACATAACAGACAGCATTCCGCCTGACTGAGCACTTCGGTGCTACGGTCTGTGCTAAGGACACGTCATGCATTTTGTCACTTCACTGTCACAATGACCCTATGTGAAGGGTACTATGACTGTCTCTGTTGCACAGATGGATGCGGACCGTCAGGTTTACAGAGTGAAAGGAAATCCCCCACAGTCACACAGCTTACGTGTTGGAACACAGGTCATGGATTCCACACAGACAGACACCAAAACCTCTTTCGGTGCAGCTATTTAAAAAAATGTTTTCTGAGTGAGTGAAGGGATTGAGAGAAGTATTTTTAGAAGAAACATTATATATGTTTAAAAAGTAGCATCATTTGGAAATCATGCCCACTACACTGAGATTTTTTTAAACAGGGTTAATTTTTGTAGGAAGGGCAAAGTGGGAACTCTTGTTCCACCTTCATCTCTAATCTTCACAAACATAAAGGGTGTAATTTTCATAAAGAAAAGGTTCCAGGCAGAAAGAGGATTAGTAGGTGGGATACGCTTCTGAGTCTTCCGGACAGTAATTTAGGAAGAAGCCTTGGCTGCTGAGGTAAAGAGTGAGCCCTGGGCTTTCAGCCAGGAAATCCAGGTTCAAATCACATGCTGGAGGACCAAAGGCCAATTTCCTAGCAGAGGGAGCATCCTGAGCAAAGGCTAAGAAAGAAGGGAGACTGCCAAAAGGGTGCAGTAAACTGAAACATAAGCTGGGGTGGGACCTGGCAGCGGGTGCAGGGGACAGACAAGGTTGGAGAGGGAAGTGGGGACACAGTCTGCATTACAATCCAGACTAAGGTGTTTGAAGTTAATCACAAAGACTGCAGTTCTCGGGGCCGGCCGGTGGTCGAGTGGTCAAGTTCATGTACTCCACTTTGGCGGCCCAGGGTTTCACCGGTTTGGATCCTGGGCACCGACCTAGCACGGCTCATCAGGCCACGCTGAGGTGGCGTCCCACATAGCAGAACTAGAAGGACCTACAGCTAGGATGGGCCTTTGGGGAGAAGAAAAAAAAAAGACTGGGCCAACCTTTAAAAAAACAATAAAGCCTACAGGGAGCCTCTGAAGGAGCACTAAGCTGGGAGTGAGGAGCTGGGATTTGTGTAGTTTCGGAAGATCCCTCTGGCAGCTTTGTAGCATAGGACAGAGCAGGGTAAGGGGAAACAGTTGTGAAGCTATTTCAGCAACCAAAAGAAAAGGTGAGGGTCTTCATTAAGGTATTGGGAAGTGAGATGCAGAAAGGCAGGCAGCTGCGAGAGGTTTTGTCAGACAAGAATGGCAGGTCATGGTGGCCGCTTGGATACTGGGAGTATGGCAGACATGGAGACGCTGCCACCTGGATCCCCATTAAGGGTGGACTTGCTGCCCAGTGTCAGGGACTGAGGTCAGCAGACGGCCCCAAGCCGCCAGCTCCTTCAGGCCACCTTGCCGAGGGGACGCCTTTCCCAGGGCAGCCCAGCTGGTGCCTTGGCAAAGGGGAGCAGAGGGCTCTGACGGGCCCCACTCACCCCACAGCACTCTGCTGAGTCGCCCAAGGTGCTGTGGGACTGCACCCCAGTTCAACTTCTCCCTCTGCCCGATCCTGCCCCCTTCCTTCCACAGATGGTTACCCCTAATAAGCACCTTATACCTCCAATCTGTCTCGGCATCTGCTTCCAGAGAACCCAACCGAGGGCAGCGAGCCAGGCCTTCTCCTCAGCCCAGTGGTCCAGGAATGAAAATAAACATGCACAAAGATTACCATCCTCCTTTGAACTGGAACCACAGCCTTCAGGAATGGTCTATCTGGACCTCAAGCAGGAAGAGGCTTGTTTACCTAGAGACCGAAACAGCTTGGCCTGAGAGGTAGATAGAAATAGGAGGAAATCTCTGAGAAATCACCCCATCAGGCCACACTTTATCAGCCAGAGGCACACTGAGGGGACTGAAGGAGCGGCCAGAAGGCAAGCGTTAGTGCATCTTGACAACTTTTCTGGAAATAATCCTTCTTTCATTCTTCTTTCACCATAAAATTAAATTAAGCAAGCATCAGTTTTCCCAGACTTAATCAGGACTTCACAGCCTCAGGTGTGCAGTTTCTTCCAGTGTTCATTCAGCCGCCCCTTCAGGTATTTTAACAAACTTTTCAATAACCATGGTAATGCTGATGGTCCCCATGTATTTCACCTGCCCTGCACCAAGATCCTGGTGCTGGGTTGTGAGTGAAAGACGGCCTCTGACCGCAAAGGCTCACTCGGTGCTCTGTGCAGATCAGGGCTCACAGGACTACATACAAAATGCTTTCAAGGGGAGATTTACATGGTGCTCCCAGAGCACCGAGCAGGGATGGTGAGGCTGGCCCAGGCAAGTGCAGGAAATCAAGATGAAGGTGACATTTGAATCTGGTCTGGAAAGACAAGTGGCTGATTGCTGGATTCAGTGCTAGAATGCTCAGGGGAAATGGATGCCATTAGAGCAAAAGCGGTTCACTGTAGGAAGCCCCGAGGGGCACAGAGGGTTTGAGGTGTTCACTATGTTGGCCAAAAGGGCACCAGTGCAGAGCGGAGAAGTGCAGCCCAGTGGACAAGAGAGGCAGCCTGGGAGCTCCAGTTAAGGCAGCGGGCCCTGCCAGCCGACGGCATTGACACTCATTTTGTTTTTTAAGAAGATAACCCTGCAGTGTGGAGAAAGGCAAGAATGGGAAATAATTTTTCTCTTTAAAACAATCAAGCCAACTGAAAACTGCAAGCTGCAAAACATTATGTAGAGTATGTCATTTTAAGAACAACAGAGATGGCAGGTGGACCATTTGTAAAAGTACATTCCTACGGAGAAAAAAC